CGGCGAGGCCGAGGCCTTCTACCCGCGCCTCATCCGCCTAGCCCACCAGGCCGACGCGTCGCTGAACGGCGCCGTCATCGCCAGCACCATCGCCTTCAACGGCGGCACCGGCCAGGGCCGCATCTTCATCAGCAAGGACGACGGCGTGAGCTTCGCGCTGCAGGGCGCGGTGACCGACGCCACCTGGCCCAAGGGCCTGTGCTGCGGTTCCGTCTACGAGCTGCCGTCCACGGTCGGCGTGCTGGCGGCCGGCACGCTGCTGTGGTCCGCTTCAGTAGGCCAGGAGACGCCCGGCACGCCGATGAAGCACCCCATCTACCGCAGCACGGACGCAGGCAAGACCTGGACCTCGCTGAACGCCCACTGCGGCATCGGCCGCAAGCCGCGCGGCGGCGATGGCACCGGCATCTGGGAGCCCGAGTTCCTCGTCACCAAGGACGGCCAGCTCGCCTGCATGTACTCCGATGAGACCGACGACGGCGCGTCGCAGGTGCTGAAGATCATGAACACCGCCGACGGCGTGACGTGGAGCGCCCCGCGCCTGCTCGTCGCCGCCGTCAAGGCGACCGACCGCCCCGGCATGGCCGTCACCAGCCGGCTCGGCGACGGCAGCTACCTGCTGAGCTACGAGTTCTGCAGCACGGCCGGCCTGGACTGCCGCGTCTACCTGAAGCGCTCCGTCGACGGCCTGGACTGGGGCGCCACCAGCGACAAGGGCGCCGAGCCCAAGACGGCCGACGGCGGCTGGTTCCGCCACGCGCCCACGCATGTCTGGCTGCCGACGCAAAAGCGCATCGCGCTGGTCGGGCAGATCCTGAACAACGCCGCCGGTGCGGTCGATGCGGCCGGCAACGGCAACACCATCTTCATCAGCAGCACGGCCGACGGCACCGGCCCGTGGACGACGATGGCCGCGCCCGTGAAGACGGTGAACCCGCCGAACGGCACGAACTGGTGCCAGAACTACTCGTCGCCGCTGCTGCCCAGCGCGGACGGCAAGCAGCTGCTGATGCTGTCCAGCGACTTCGAGACGGTGAACGGCACGCAGCAGTGCCGCACCCGCTTCGGCCGGGGCGCGCTGCCGTCCTGAGCGTCAGAGCTTCAGATGGCCGTGGACACCATCGTCGGTGCGACGGCCGACCAACGCGCCGAACAGCATCTTGATGCCCGCCACGGCCGCACCGTGGCGGTTGTCCCAGTACTCGCCGCTGACCGGGTCGACGCGCAGCAGGCTGATGCGCGGGTCGGTCTCGCCCTCGGGGAACCAGGCGCGCAGCGTCGGCTTCCACAGGCGGTGGATGGTGTCGGGGTCGATGACCTCGGTGGCCTCGCCGTCGAGCTTCAGGTGGCCGCCGTTGTCGCCTTCCTTGAAGAACAGCGTCACGCGCGGGTCGCGGTCGAGTTCGACGTTCTTCAGGCTGTCGGCCTCGGTGAAGAACCACAGCGTGCCGTCGTCGTCGATCTCGATGACGGTCATCGGCCGCGCATGCAGCTCCGAGCCGATGCTCAGCGTGCAGAAGAAGCAGCTGTCGCCGTTGCTGACGATGTCCTTGATCTTGTCGATGGCCGCCGGCCCGCTGAGGTCTTCGTCGGGGGCGTGGCCGTGGTCGGCAAAGTCATCGCGGTCGTTCATGTCGGCTCCTGGGCTGGGGGGTGTTGCGCAAGCCTAGGCAGGCCGCCATGGCCGAGGTATCGGCCGGCAGGCTGGGCCGCTGTCGGAAGGCGTGCCGCCTGTTCTCCTACGCCCGCTTCGGCGCCAGCCGACGCCACCTGCCCGGAGCGACGCATAGATTGGCGGTCAGCCCACTCCGGAGCACGCCATGCGCCCAGCCCAGAAGTCCACGCGCCTCGCCCTGCTGCGACGCGGCCTGA